GTATTACACTGCATACTGGTAGAAAGAACATATAAGATTAGCGGTCTGTGAAGTTAGAAAAGTAAACGTAAAAACTAAACTAAAAACATAATAAAGCTAAATATTGGTATAAACTAAGAAAACACTTCACTTTAATAGATAATACATAGACTTTCACGAATGAACGAACGAACGTTCACGAACAAGGCCATTCGGAGAGGAGGGGGGGAGGAAAGAAGGGGCATTTGCCTTCCCTCCCCCCTCTCGGAATCAGACGAGTACAAAAACAATCAGAATTTACTCTCCTATTTTTACTAACAATAAATACGAGTATATTTGTCAAATATGAGAGAGCTAAAGTACAATACAAGTACACTACGTTCGGACATTTGCTCCTTGTAATATATATGTATACATATATACATACATATATACATATACAGGGTGTCCCGTAAACACCGTATCAACGCTTAAGAGTATTCCTGAGATCATTTTAAGACAAAAGTTCTAATACCAAAATTTTGGCTATTCAGGCTATAATATAGTTTTTGAGTTATATAAGTGTTTAAAGTTAACTAATCAGATCGTCTAAAGTTGGTGCGCTCCGAAAAAAAAAATTTTTTAAAAATCGATTAGTAATCCTTCCTTAACTATGGACCTCAATATGGTCTGGATAAAATTTCATCAAAATCGATAATATCTTCGGCTCTCGACTTTGAAATTAGTAAGTTTATACATTTCTTGTACATATATAGTATCTGTAAAGTTAGTACATTTTTATTTTCGATTTTTTGGTATTAAAAATGCAAAACTTTTTTAAATATTTTTAGTATTCAAAAATTGTAGAATTATGAAAGTTGCTCGTGGAACTATAATTGTTCTTTTCTAATTAATAAAACGTCATACCAAGTTTACAAATACTGATACATATTATTTTTAGAAAGTTAATTTGGATCAATTCTCTTGCAATCTGACGAATTTATGGTATACGTTGCGTAATTTTGTAATAATTACGCGATAATTATGGAAACATCGTTGATTCATAAATAAATTTATGTTTTATTTATCTAGATGCATCATTTGTGAGTTAAATCATTATTCATGATCTTCACTTCGTATATTATTATACTAATAATTAATTAAAAATATCAATATTCAGTTTTATGTGGCAATAAAATATTATGCAAATATTTATGCAAATATCGGACATAACATGCAACATTGTACGTAGTTTGCGACTACGAGAAGATTTTTGCAATTAAATTTACTTCTATTATTTACTAATCGTAAGAGGAAAATTTTGTAAATCAAGTCGACTAGCTTTAGATATGTATAATAATTAATGCAATATTTCTTATTGCAGTTAATATGTGAGAATTATTGTTTATCGATAATTAAAATTGTTGACAGTGAATATCAAATAATACTGTGTGAGCAGTTGTCATTAGGATGAAACTTCCTTAATTCCAACCACATCACATCGAGATAATTATGTGACGTAATTTACATAGAAGATCTAATATGCTATAGTCGTTCAACCGATTGCAATCACAGTTATGCAATCATTATTATGCAATGACAAACTAGTCCCTTTGCCAAAACCAATTACAATTTCTTGCTTGTTACACCGAGCTTAGAACGGAGCGACGAAAAGCTGAGTTTAGAACATCTCAATGTACGTTTAAATGTGTGATTATAGAGAAAAATCATGTAGAAATTATTATAATTTAAATTACAACGTAAATTTTATTTCACATTAATTAAATTTAAAATATTCAATTTAATATTAATATAATTATGTAATTTTATTTTAACATTAAGGAGAAGGGTGATTAAATTGATGGATATTACAATATTTTTAGCATATTTTTTAAATTATTCATAATTATTTCTTATATTTCAAATATCAAATTTAAAATGAGCAATTGAATCAAAAGTTAAAAGTTGCAGAAAACGGATCTGCTATACGCGAAGAAAATATTAAACCATATGTCAGTTGAAGCATTACTGATATTTTTAGAGATTAATACATTTGCTCTTTTATTACATTTCATCTGGTCCGAATGTCATTTTCTTTAGTTTTACGACTTTGTATGGCGGCATTTATATTATGCGCACGTTTACGCTTCGCAGTCTGCGAGATTTGGTCGAGGACCACCGTAATCACTGTGGTCGCTATTTTAGTACACGCGAAGAAGAACTCGATAACTCACAAGCGAGGCTTTTCGACCCTGACTCAAATTCACACAAGAGCCAGCTGCCACCCATTGCCTAATCCGACGCATTTCGAGGTCCCAGATTAAAAAAGAGATCGGCACAAATCTAGAAACTATATCGAGTCGATTAATTTGATTTGATTTTGATTTATTTCTAAATATAAAAGAATTGTATGTTAAATAATTTTACATAAAAAAAGTATTAAATGTTTTTTACGGCAATTATATTAATTATTATTATAAAGATTTAGAAATTCACATTTAATATTGTAAAATATAGTATATCACTTATAGTAAATAAAAATATATGTATGTAGAATTTGACCATAATAATTAAATTATACGGTATACAAATGATATTTTAGTCTAAATTTTTCTGATATGAATAAGTCGATCTAACGGATGTAATTTACAATAAAAAAAAAAAACAAATCTGAATTCTTTGAATCTTGCACGAGTGAGTAGTTCGAAACGGAGAGACATTTTTCGTTTGAACGACTAGGAGCAGCTTCTCCGGTCGTTCGTAGATACATCGATTCGTTATCGAGATATTGCTTTCGTGCAGCCACCGACAAGGAGAGTGGTTGGATTCACCGAAGATTTATGATTTCGAACGTTCGCCAATTTTTTCTCTTTCTCAACTTTCTACCTACGATCGCCTCGCGTCGCTTCGTTTGAATGTGCAAAAGCATAAAATGAGAATCGTTTGTTGTGCATTATTTTCCTTGATGCGAAAGATAACGTTGCATAATAAAGGAATATTCTCATATTAAACTTTATTGTTTTATTAATGTTATTTATTGAATATAATAGCTGAATAAGTATAATAAATAAAAATATGCGAAAAATACAAAGAGGAAAGGATAAATTCTCGATTTCTGATAGTATCATTATACTGATATAATATAATATCAGTTATTGACAAATCTGGTATATCTACTGTAAACTTCTCAAAGTAGGCAGTATAGTAATCCATTCAGTTTCATCGAACCACTAAAAATGACTACTCTGATTAAAGTGGAAATCGTGATCGTTGGAATAAAGGAGTCCATTCTGCGTTTCTTCCGCTTTGCAGCTTCGACTCTTTTGTGGGTCAGTCTGAGAAAATTTACTATCTTCCCGCGGTATCCTTAGCCAACGAACCGAACCACCGGGATGTATCAATCACTCGAGGCCTCCCCTACTCCTTCAGAAAGTTCAGTCATGTTCATGCTACGAAGTTGCATTAAACTTATACATATGAAACGTGGTAGAAACATATAGTACTTCTGAAGTTTCACGGTATAGGATAAATATGAATGAAGATGATTTCGGCAGTCATGTTCGCCATTATTTGACAATAACACCGTGGAATTCTTACGAGGTCTTGCCAAAATTCATTTATTCACTATCGAGTAGATTATTTCAAATAAAAATTTTTTTTACGTTGTAAGATTTATGTTCTTGTTATTATTTGATGGATGAAATTATTGTAAATTGCGCAGAAATGTTTTGTCCAGGAGAAGAAAAGAATTGTGTACGTATTCGTTGAAACACCTAGAATATCATTTATCAATAAATTCTTTCAATATATAATTGGATTTACAATATTGAATTTATTGTACGCTTCTCAATCCAATTTATGAAAATTACGCAACAATATTTTGATAAAATTGTTTTCATCTTCTTCTGTGATGCTTTGAAATGAAATCATACATTGCATATTGTCTTTATAAATTCTCGATTTTACATAGTAATCATTCGTAACAGTTACAAATCTTTTTATCGAAAATTTAAAGTTATTTCGCATACATTGCATTTCTTATAAATTAATGAACGAATATATTTGTAAATTTTGATTTATCAGATATATAAAGAAAAACGAAATGGTCGATGAATGATGAATAAATTAGAATTTATTGATAAATAAATTTGAATTTTATCAGTATCGCTATAATAAGAATTAAAAGACTTTATAAATTAGCATGTATAACGAATTTCTGTAAAGGATACAGATTCGTGATATACTATAACATTCATATATGGATAATAATCTGATCGTGCCATTATACGATCTGTGCTCGAGAGATAAGTCGGATCTAACACTCTTTACTTAACCGGGATTTCGCTCGAAAGGAAACGATGTTTGTTCAAAACATTTGCCCCGGGATACCGGGGAATCGTGGATCAAAGGTTTTCCTCGTCCGGAAAGAGAGTTCGCCATTCCAACACGCTCGCCTTTTTTCCCCGCATTATCAGCGAACGGTGCGCAGCAGTAAAGTGAAATCTGGCTAGCGTGTTCTTGCCGCGAGCAATCTTGTAAAAGTTCTCTCGGAGCTTGAAAATCGATTTCTCTGAGAGATACGATATGTATACGTTGTGGGAAATCGATTATTGGTCATTGAACCACCGCCGCAAAAATGATTGCTCCCTCAATATTCTGGTCAGCGACGCGATATTCGCGGTTTAACGCACAAGCTATGATTATCTGATAAATTATTTATCTCTCTCCTATTAATTCGAACGTTACATATGGCCTCTCCCCACAACTAATCGCAGGCTTTTAATTCGTGAATGAGATACAAATAATGTATTATTATGTCTCCTTTTCACAAGTACTTATTATATGATTAAGAATAATTATTTAAGATTTTAATTTACCGCTTGCTCCTTTTAATATAAATAACTCACGCAAAGTAAATGATTGTGTTTTTGTTTGAATTTTTATTCTAGACATATATTCAGAGCTTTCTCTCCCGCTTTCAAGTCGTTAATTTGTAATTTTAGTTCAAACTCTATTGCTTTTATTACAAGAGAGCGACTTACCTTCCAAAACTCGAACGCAATCTGTCGAATTCGGATAATTAGCGGGATAATTCGGGCTGTAAAATTCATTCTTCGTCAAGTCTCCGATCCGAAATTTATCGCAGCTGTCCGGGGTATGTCTCATGTAGCGTCGCGGCATGGCGACGCCTTTCGTGGACGTCGTCGTCGTCGTCGTGTTTCTCAAGTTCCCACGCGAGAGCGTATCGAACGATAGTCGTGTCTCGGGCGTTGGCACTATCTGTACACATTGTAAAGTCACATTTGAATTTATATGCGAGGGCCATCACGTGTAAAATAATACACGATATTTACTGTGATTTATGCAATGGCGTTTTGAAAAATTACGAGACAAGATGAAGATGTCAGTTCGCGTGTAGCAATTTCAACGTGGGGAAGCCCTTCGCGGCTTTCGTCGTTGCGCGCGGCGTGTCACGTTAATTTGAGCCACGCAAGATTGAAAATTTATACGATCGGTGAATTATAAGCCTTTAATCCGAGATATCAAGCCGTTAATTAAATGGAAGCCCAATTCCGCTTTGGGCAACTGGCATTGCAACAGCGCTAAATTATAGTTATCGCTCGCATTACGATATTGGAAACGGCGCTGAGTAATTACGACTATTATATCGTTATGAGAGATATCGATATCAATGAGAGGTATTATACTATGGAATATATCTTATAGAAGAATCCATACTATTGTTTAATCCCGATATCTTGCTTAATATTTAATTTGTTCATAAGTTCAAGAAGATCTCTTTAGTTTTTGCAGAAATTTATAAAAAAATTGGCGCAGATATTTCTACGAACTCTGAATTCTATTTAATTATCAATGAAATAATTTAAGAGGATAGGATACTTTGACCAGCCTGAAAAATAAAGATTTTTCGAGCTTAGATTACAGGAAGAGCATATAAATACGATCCACTTGTATAATTTGGCACTTTATTACATATATCAAACTTGTTATGTTTCAAATTTTATTGAAAAATATTAATCTCTCGAGGAAATACAGCAATCCGTGTAAAACATGCACTTTTAAAAGGTGTACATAATTTCGCCATTTTGGTTATTTTGAAACAAAAAATCGAAACAGTTTCATCAATTAAAATGTACTCCCTATCGCATGACCGACGATTTTATTGATAACATTTTCAGTTTCCAAAATACAATAACATTTATAATGTCAAAAAATGTGAAAAAATTTAAACATGTTTATTTCCGTCAATTTTCAAAAAAATGAAATAAAGCTCGGTCACGCAATAAAGAGTACATTTTAATTTATAAAACTATTTTGATTTTTTGTTTCAGAATAATCAATATGGTTTTTAGTGCACGTTTTACACGAATTGCTATATTTCAATTCTCGAAAGATTAATATTTTTTAATAAAATTTGAAACATAACAAGTTTAATTAATATATGTAATAAAATGCCAAGTGGATCGTATTTATACTTTTCCCGCAATACAAGTTCAAAAAATCTTTATTTCAAATCCTGCTCCCGCATAAACAATTCATGGTCCCAATTATTGTAATTCTTGTTACAGTTTTAAGAATTTCAGAAATTAAATTCTAAAATAAGAGAAGTAGAGGTATGTGCAAGGAAATCTAATTACTAGTCCTGAGACCTATTATTCTGGACATTCGGGACATCTGCAGCCCTTAATCGTGACCAAATTTCCAAGTAATCGCTACTAGCTACGAGATTCGGTACGAATTACGTCATAGGAGCTTGTAGATATCGGCGAGGTCCTCACGAGGTGATAGCCAATCGCCGACGACGGCGAGGACGATGACTCGATGGAAATCCGATTGGACGGATCCGTCTGGCTCGTTTCATTGCTCCTGGAGGAGATGGACGGGTTATGGCTCGTGATCCTTGCGTCCTCGGTGTCATTGCCCCGCGGCAACTGTACCCTCCTCCTCCCTTCCTCGTCCTCCTCGGACCTCTCGACCATCGTTCCCAGGAAACTCAGATCCGATCGAGTCCCAGGACTCGATCTGTCTACGCTCCAAGAGCTGGTATCTGGGAGCTTGCCGTTCGAGGGTCTAGTCTCCTTCGCGGCATGCTCTAAACTCGAGGACGGCCAGGATCGCGGTGACGAGGATCTACTAGTTTTTCGAGCGCTGTACGTGCTCCACCGCGGGTCCTCAGCCTCTCCCGTGGACGCTCCAGTAACTGAAACAGTAACAGTACCGAAATAATCAAGTGGCGTACAATTAGTTTCGGTAAAAAAAATTTGTATTCAAAATGTGCTTCATTGTAGTAGTTAAATGAAAAACTTTCCATCGTGTGATTGCTACGGTAAAATTTAAATATTTTATAGTCACATAGAGTGACATTGGATAAGTTGTTGAAGTGGCAAAGTCAGCAATTAAAAGCAATACCGATATTTCTCGCGTTGCGTCGTTATTAATAATTTTCTAACTCGAAAAGTATTTATAATATAAATTTTTTATATATACTTCTTCAGCCAAATTGAATACAATTCAATTAATGCCAATTAATTAATCGCAGTCAAGATCGTAGCATTCAAATACGGTTGAAAATGGAAAACAGGCGTGTTTTTCTCGAGAATAGTCGATTTCCAATTTAACGCGATTGAATGGAGAACGATATATATGAGTAGTACGCAGGAAGGCGGACAACTAAATTGGGCGCTCGAATTCTATCCCTGAAAATGAACGTAATACCAACAATTCTCGTACGCGCCTTTTTAACTTTCGGTCGTTCTCGCTTTTTTTTAGCTTCCAACGCTCGCTAACTAACGAGGTTTAATGTTGTCGCTCGCCTGCATGAAACTGTAACTTGATTCGCAATAAAGTGATCCGCCTTGATTTAACGAGTCAGGGCAATATCGGCCTTTGTGTTTCTCTTGTTTGCTGCTCTCTTAAATTAGAGCTATCGCCATTGCTTGCTACATAGATCATCGCAGAAATATCTACAAAAATATTATATAGTATATAATAATTTATTTTAAATTTTTCAAAATATAATTAAATGTCTTAACAATTAATTACATATCTAAGAATTAATTAGATGTATTTTGTCTCATAATCTCTTGGAAACAAAAGCTCATGTTACTGCTAAATAGCGTTGTCTGATTTTACAGTTATCCGCTATTTCTTCAATATGTGATGAATAATAATATATATACTTAATGTGTGTGTAAATGTGAAATGAGATTCATACAGTTTTCTCTTTGCTAAATATTCGCCAAGGATATAAATTGCATTAATTTGCATAAAGTGGAGTAATACTTTACAAGAGAGGAATACCATTTCGTGCGTAACATCTTTCTGTCGAACGCATATTGCATCTTAAAAAGTAAGACGGCAACCTATATGATGCATTTTGTGCAACATTCAGACAAGGGTATCTCACTATAAGATTTTAAAGTGTTCCTTTTTTCCTTTTACGAGGTCGATGCAACGCGTCTTCTCTCCTCAGGCTAAAACTTGATAACCTCATGTGACTGCACCACCCGTTGCATCTCGGTGGCTAAGTCTTCTATTTTACTAGAGAGAGCTCTCGTCGTGTCTGGCATCATGAGGGGCCTGCTCACAAATTTTTAAGTCAATGTCTTACAGGCGGTTCTTCCTTTATCGTGCGATTTCAGAGTGCGATAAGCTAAGTTTCTGCCTGGAGTGCTTTTATCCTGTACTTCGGTTTTGATACTTTTAAAGGATCGACTGGACGATATTTCTCAAGGTAGCAAGAGTATAGCAAGTTTACAATAATTTATAAGTATATTTGTGAGTAAATCTTAATTAATATACTTTAATTTATTAATATTACAATAAAATTTTTAACTTATTTAATATTTTTATGTTGCTTGAAATAACACTATAGCATCAAAAGAACGCACGTGTTTTTTTGTAGATAAAATTATTATATGAACTTATCTAACAATATTAATCTAATGGGAGAGAGAATATATTATCTTCGTTTAATTGTGTGTTTTCAATTATTCAATTTTGCACATTTATTCTTCTCGAATGCATCCGGTATTTATTAAATCAGAATTTCCGAGCCGATTACTTCCTTACGATTTCCTTGCGGCTCATAAACAACAGGCTTTATGCATTCCGGCATTATCGGTTTCTAGACTCAGGATAAAGGTGAGCGGTTCTCTCCGAGAGTAACTGAGCACGGATAAGGTCAAAATTCATTCGCTCCATTTACCACTCATTTCCTAAAGACAGAATCGGAACGTAATAGCCTTCTCCAGTTACTGTTGTTCCGAGTAGAGCTTGCAGTAAAGCGTGAAATCGATAGTTTCACATTGCATCCTTGGATTCCACAAGACCAAGATATTCAATTTTTTGAATTTATAAATTTATAAACAAATCTTGTAAATTTTTATTGATAATTTTCAATCGTGAATCTACATTATCTTTAAATGATGGTTTTAACTTATTTAAAATTAAATTGATTAAAATGATTACTATAATATGTAGATTAGAATATATAGATTAGAATTAAATTGATTAAAATGATTACTATAATATATAGATTAGAATTAAATTTATTAAAATGATTACTATAATATATAAATTCAATATTGCATGAAATTATGTAATATATATTAAATCTTCATTATTGAAAATATTCATTGTTGATTAAACAATGCAAGCCAATTTCAAGAGAAATTTATAAAACAGATTTAATTCGATTTTTTATTTTACTATTGTTACACAATTTGCCAATAAAGCGTAACTCTTAATCGAAAAATTTTTCATTAAATGAACAAGCTTGTATTAATGTGCTCTGTTTTTTTATTTGTAGACAAGTACTATTATCGTGCATTGTGAAATTTCGGCAAACCCCTTCCGGTTGCCAAAGTTACATCGCTGAATTTCGAGAATTTCCTGCGACGCCATGTTTCAGAGGCGTCGGGTTTCTAAAAGCAGGAACGACGGCGGAAATCTACATCCACCTGCAGCGAGTAAATCAGATCCTCGCCTGCTAGGTGTCTCGTTCTCTCACCCGCCCGGCTATCTGGCCTCCCGTTTCTCGGCAAACAATTTTGTAGCTTCTTGTTTCTCTATCCTTCGCACCATCTTTCTCGCGTTAGTTCCTCTTCGTCTCGCGTACGAGAATATTGCAGCGCACCCGTGATAATCCCTTTTTCACTCAAGACATTCATCGCGCTGTTTACATCATCACTTTTTCTTTAAAGAGAGCCCATGTTGCCCATCTCATCTAAAAAATGGCCGCATTGTGCGCATCTCGCGCGAAACGAGCGATACTTTTGTGTTCGCGATCACGGCTAACGGCATAATATTAACGATACATAATATAAACTAAAGAGAGAGAATTAATGGTATAAATTAATGGTATAATTTTGTCTCATTATTTACTAATTATTTATTCATTTCGTATGTATATATTGCTTCTGTATATTTTTCATGATTTCTCAATTAATACTAACAAGGGACATGTCACAATTGTGCAGAACTGATTTGATTCTTGAAATATGTTGTAAAACACAAAAATCTAAAAGACGTGTATTTTTTATACGTACAGAATCTCGTGTTTAGGGGATGAAACACCCTTTTGAAAAAAAAAAATGATTTTCCTCTTTCAGGGCAAATATCATCAGAAATATAAAAGATAGAAAAAAAATTTAAACAAAAATTTGCACGGTTTGAAGAGTATTTTTAAATTGTAGAGAAAGAAATTTTTCAATTTTTTTAATAAAATACCCTCAGCACCCAATAAATTTTGTTCAAAATTTTCAAATTTTTTTTACCAAATTAAAAATTATTTTTTTCGAATTCAACCATTTAAAAAATTGAGAAATTTAAAGAATTTGAAAATCTTCGAGAAACATGTTTCACCTTCTAAACATAAGATTTTGGACGTATAAGAAGATATGTCTTTTAAATTTTTATGTAACAACACATTTCAAGGATAATCAAATCGGTTGTGACATGTCTCTTGTAATTATTCTTTATAAAGTTATATATTTAAGAAATAAAAGTTACTGCTGTAAAAATAAAGAAATGGCGGTTCATGCCACTTTACGATGCTTTAATTTCACGCGGGACCTAAGATATTTTTTAAGGTGAGGTATGTTGGAGTAATGTTCGAAGTTTATGAAGAAAGTTTTCTCTGTGGTAATTATTTATTTTATAATGGGCAACATCTCCCGGGCGGTCCCTTCGAAATAACTTGAGCCTAAATTAACTTTATTTTGCGTAAAATACAAATTCACTCATGAGATTAAAATTGTTCGTTGTCTGGCCGATATCCGACTAGTAAAGGGAATTTAATAAAACGCAACGAAGCGATAATAAAATAAAAGCAATTCTACAGCGAGCGTTAAATATCAACAGACGTAAAAAACTGCGCGATTAAAAATTAAATAATAAATCAAATAATAAATAAAACCAGTAACCGCTGCTCATACGAGTAGTTGTTTGGAAAATATTATAAATTCATTGCTCCATCATATCGAATTTGCTGAATTAACAATGCCATTAAACAAATATTGATATTCTGTCGCGAATATTCTGAAAAATATTAAAAACGGTACTGTATCTGTGTCTGCATGTGTATATGCATGTTATTCTTACATAAGGCTGTGACTGTTTCTAACTCCAATTGCTACGAGCATAGCATAAAGAATTTATTTTTTGCGTTGCGGAAAACAAAATACTACGAGAAAGCACGTCAGATTATGAAAAGAAAGAGTTCTCACGTCTGAAATAACTTATATTGAAGTATTTCAATGCATATGCAAATCTCACCAGTCAATAATATCTGACATTTTCTCAAAATAAAATTGTTAAGCGCGAAAATGTCGATTATGCTTTTCAGTTAAGCTTTAATTGTGAAATATCTGTTATTATTTCGAAAATGCAACATCGGAAAACAATTAATTTTTAATTTAATTTAATTGTAATTTCAGACTTGTATGATTCTTGTATTGTAATTGATTTGAGAAAAGATTATTATAAAATAGAGTACCTACATTTTATTATAAAGTCCAAATTAGGCTGAATCAGGATATTAAATGCGTTTCGATAAAACAATTATTCTGAGAAAATATAACTCTTATGGTTTTATAGTATCTAGAATGACTCGCGCACGTCTAAATATTTTTATTTAGATATTTCTAAATATTTAAATAGCCTAAATATTTCAATTTAAAGAAGACACAAAGTCAAAAT